TACAGTAGCGACAAGTTACACAGCCTCTCGGTGCTTTGTCTTCTCTCCTGGAAAACTACGAATAGTACCCACCGGGAGGGCCGTTACAGGGTGGAAAATGTGATACGCTGTGTGTCACTTACAGGCAGACATAGTCTCAGAAATTAATCACACAGTGGTTTTTCTCTCTGCAAGTATCACAGAACATACCGTACAAATTCAGACGGTGTGTCCTACTGCGCATCTGTGTGTGTGTGTATGTGTGTGTGTGTGTGTGTGTGTGTGTGTGTGTGTGTGTGATATTCCACTGCTCTTAGGACTACAGTAAACAAAGCAACATGAGACTGAATCGGGCACAAGAGAAAATGATGCCATCAAAAAGCTCCGCGTTTGGCGCTCTTGCTGCTGCTGTGACGGGCGCAGTTCTCCGTCAGCGTGCTTTCAGAAGTGGCTGAGTGTGCCCCCCTGCTGATTCAAAGTGAAGTGAATTCACAAGCCAGTGACATCGCCGATTACTGTTTCCATCAGTCCTGGTTCCCACACACAGTTGTATGTGCTGTGCTTGGAGACGCCTGAGCGCACAGCAGGTGCGTTTATACCAGTGATGTCACAGTCACGCGAATGAAGGTTTCAAGCTGTAGTGTGAGGTCAAAAGGCAGCCGCAGATTTCCTGTTCTCTTCAACTCTCATGCCCGAGCGTGTGTGTGTCATCCATTGTTGTTGGAAATGTGCAGCATGTGACTGCGTGCAAAGAGCCACATGGCATCCCTCGGATGAGGCCAGACCAACTGTCCAAGATGTCCAACCATAGGCATTTCACAATGCTGTCCTGGGACCTACATTCAAAAATCAAAGGCTGAGTTTCCTAAGGGCATCATGTTTCCTCCTATCTGCTGTCTCTGTCTCTCTCTGTCTCTGTCTCTCCATCTGTGTCTGTGTTTCCGTCTCTCTCTGTCTGTCTCTGTCTCAGTCTCTGTCTCTCTCTGTGTCTGTGTCTCTCTGTGTCTGTGTCTTTCTGTGTCTGTGTCTCTCTGTGTCTCTCTCTCCCTCTCTCTTTGCCTCTCTCTCTCTGCTTCTCTCCCTCCTCACTCAGTACGATGGAAGAATTGTAAAGGCAGAATTGAATGAATGCTTTCCTAAGGAAGACATATGAGTGGCATAAAGCATACAAAAAGGTGCTCAGTCTCACAGTGACCAGAAAAAAGCAAACCCAAACCACGATAAGATCATGCAATGGTGGTAAAAGCTGACAGTCCCAAGTGTTGGCAAAGATGGTGACAAGTGGGAACCTCATTTGTTCCTGACAGAGATGAATACAGTTGAGCTAGCACTGCGTGTCCATATTGTAGTGCCTCCGTTGAGCACACATTTGTCAAGTGGCGGTTTTCTGCCTCTGCCTCTGCCCAAGGGAGTGGATTCCCGCAACTGCTCAAAGACATGTATATGGATGTTCAGAGTGTGTCATTTACAGTTGGTTGGTGTTCTCTGTTGTTTTGGGGATGGGGCTGGAGGCCATGCGTGTGTGTGTGTGTGTGTGTGTGTGTGTGTGTGTGTGTGTGTTTGTGTGTTTGTGTGTGTGTGTACATCCTTGTGGAGGCCAGAGGCTGATATTAGGTGCCTTCTTTGATCACTCTTCACCCTGCTTGTTGAGACAGGGTCTCTCACTTGAACCCAGAGCTTGACAGTTGCTCCTCCGGCTAGCCGGCTTGCTCCGGGGATCCCCTGTTCCGACCTCCCTAGTCTGGGGTCACAGAGAAGCTGCCATGCCTTCCAGGCCTTGTGTGGGTGCTGGGGACCCAACCCCAGGCTTCACACCCACAATGCAAGTTCTTTACCAGCTAAACCATCTGGCCAGCCCCATTGTTCACTTGTCTGGGGTTATTCGGTTTTGTTTTGGTGTTTTGAGACAGCTTCTTGCTATGAACCCCAGGCTGGCCTGGAACTCATGACCCTGGAGCGCAGCCTCCTGAGTCCTGGCATCACAGGTGCACACTGCTACGCCTGCCTACTGTTCACGCGGGTCCTCAGGTCGCCAGGCTTGGCAGCAAGCGCATTTATGCACTGAGTCACCTCCATACCCCAGTTCATAATACCCTCAAACGGGAGATGTCTGCACCATGGAACAATGGTGAGCAGAGGGCGGGGCTGCCAATCTGTGCTAAATGAAGGTCTAAAAGCTAAATGAAGGTCTGAGACTCTTAGGATTCTGTTTATGTGAAATTCAAGAAAATGCAAAACCAAGTGGCTCCATTTGTGGGGAAACAAAAGCAAGAGGCAGAGGAAATCCCCCAAGACCATGAAGTTGTCTCTCTTGTGCTGGTGGCAGTCAGCAGTTACAAAAAGTCATCAAACTGCAACTTTAAGTGGACGCATTTTATGGCATGCAAACAGTGCCTGTAAAGACCGCAGAGGCCAAGCGTCCTGGTGTTGTCCAACCTGTTGTTCCCAGTCGTCAGCATGAGCCGTGCTCATTACTGGAAACAAGGTCACCCCAGGCTCTTGGCTTCCTCTTGCCTCAGAGCTGCAGACCCAGCTGACACTGACCGATTTCCAGTGAGCGCCAGGGCGCATCCCAGGCGGAGGCAGTGGAAGCAAGCTTGTCACTGTCAATAACGACAGGAGCCTTCATTGGGTTTTTTGCCAGGCCGTGTTCGTCATCATTACACCCATTGAAGAAGAGACCAGAGCAATAACCGGCTGGGTGTTATCAGCTCACAAATAATTTATAACGGGCAAAGTAGGACAAGAGCAAAGCTTTTTCTGGCTGAGGAGCTTGCGTGTCACTCTTTTAAATCTAGGCTAAAAATGATTTATAATACACAGCCAGCCAGGCAGAAGGTGAAAGGGTTCCTTTTTTTCCCTGTCTCCTGCATTTGGACACTGGGCCTTTTACCCTGAGCTAGCAATGACGAGTCTCCCTGTCTCCTCACACCTGCTGCTGGTCTGTGACAAGAAGAAAGCGTGACCTGGTCAGAAATGAGACCTTTACAAGAACCCCTTAACCCCAAACATAAGAACAGGCAAGAAGAAGGCAGATGTGGGAAGGACACTTAGAAAAGCCCAGAGCTTGTGCGGTTGAACTAAGCTTTGGAGAATTGCTCAGATATGGTCAGGAAACGGCCCAGCCGTTCGAGAGTAGCAGGGAGCCGGACTATGAATCCAGTAATGATGTGCATGCTTGAAGCAAACATGGTGTCTACAAGTATGGTGGGATCTGAGGAAAGGTCTGTGGGGTGTGTTCTTATGTTTCTGTGGGCTGTTCGGGAAAACATCGGTACTGGGACCTCTAGATGCGAATTCCTGCCCCAAGAGAGCTGAGCCACCATCCAGTCTTCTGTCCTGGCCATACACTGATCACTAGCTTCCTGATAAGGGGATTAACTCCCCTAGAAACTGTGACCCCCCCCCCAGGTCAGGCAGACCATGTGCATATGGTTCTGTTCCCATCAGTGAGCTGGTTCTGGGTGACGTTTGTCTTGGGTATACCTGGGGAGGGGGGCAGCTTTCCCAGCCATGGATGGCCTCAATAAGTTGCTGGGGGTTATTTTTTTCTTCATATGCATGGCTGCTTTGCATGCACATATCTGTGTGCCACGTGTGTGCCTGGTGCTCACAGTGGCCAGAGGAGGACATTAGATCTCCTGGAACTGAAGTTATAAGTGGTTGTGAGTGGCCACATAGCTGGATCCTCTGGGGGAAAAGCCAGTGCTCTGAACTGCTGGGCCAGCTCTCCAGGGCCGAAAGTTGAGTGTTGGGGAGGGAACTCTGGGGTGTCGTTGAGAATCAAGGCTCCATCATGGTGTTGCTTCCTGGGACTTGGGGGAATGGATCCCTCTAGCATTTGTTCCTTATTCCTCTTGTTAGGGCAATGCCAAAGCCCAGCCCCCCATGTTCTAATTTCTTCCCAGGCTGGGGCTCCTCAGAGGCCTCAACCTGAGCAGCCTTGCTCTCGTCTCTTCTACAGACATGCCCTGTAGTGTCCTTGTGAAAGCAGAATTCATCTTGTAGAGCAGTTAGGGAACACAGAACAAGTGCGTGGGCACATATACACAGATGTCCTGGCTGCTCATGGCCAGCTGAGCAGTATGCCTGCTCCATGGTCCATGTCACATCCTCAGCACGTTATGATCCCCTGCGGTGTACTCTGGTTCCCTCTTGGTGCTGCACATTTTATGTGTTTGACAGAAGTATGGTGGCATGAGCCTGCCATGGCAGTTTCAGACACAGCAGTGTCTCTGCCATCAAAACTGTGTGTGCCCATACAGCCCTTGCTGTGAGCCACGGTAAGCCATAACTACCTTACCACCTGTATAGTTTCACCTTTCCCGGGATGTCATATAGCTGGTGTCCCATGGCATCGGCTGTAGCAGATAGGTTTCTTTGACTTAGTAATGTATGCCTGAGTTCCTTCCAGCACAGTAGTGAGTGTTCTATTTTCCACGGCTCAGAGCTGCTTGACAAACAGGACCGCAATGTCTGTCACATGCTGCCCGCTCGGCTCGGCTCGGCTCGGCTCTGCCCGGCTCACAGCTGTGCTGAGAGGGCTTCACCTCTCCACCAGGATGGTGGTTCTTAGGGCAAGGGCCATGACATATGCATGAGTGAGGGGTACATCCAGGAAACCTCCTGACGTGGCATGAGGCTGGACGCTCTGGGCTGGAGGGAAGAGGACCGGAGCCTCCCCAGGGGCTCGGAGGGCAAATCTAGGTAAACAGCATGCAGTTGGCTCCCTGGAGCTGAAGGCTCCATGAAGGTGGAGAGGCGGTGTCTGGCGCTGAGCTATGCAGGTTTTGTGTGTGAGTCAGAACTTGCTTGTTATTAATGCTGTCTCTCTCTGTGGCCAAAAGTCTAGCAAAACATGCCTCTGCCCCATTACTCAGCGCTAAAATGTGGCCAACCTCCATGAGAGACTTTTTTTGATCAGGCACTCTCCCTAGAACCAGAGAGAAGGCACCTCTATTGCATAACAAGGCCCTCATGACATGGAATGTTCTAGTTACCCGTGCCTCGTGTGTTTCCAGAGCCTCTCGAAACAAGTCTGAGAAGAAGCGTCGGGACCAGTTCAATGTTCTCATCAAAGAGCTTAGCTCCATGCTCCCAGGCAACACACGAAAAATGGACAAAACTACCGTGCTGGAAAAGGTCATCGGATTCCTGCAGAAACACAATGGTAAGGCTTGCCCTTTTTGCCATGTCTACCGCCAGCGGTGACAGAGGTGTGCACCAGGCAGGGCATCCCTGTGAGCCTGTCATCGGTACCCTCGTCACTCGTGGGTTCTCCTCCAAAGGCTTAGTTAGGACCTGCCAAAATGCCCAATGTCTGGCAGGTTGGGGAGAAGACAGTCACACCCCCAAACGCTTTCTCAACCTGAGGGGGTCGTTGGGAGCAGCATCGCAGGAGGCCCGTAGCCGGCACAGGTGGCACCCGACATGTGTTTGTCTTTGTCATAAGCCACCGGGACTCGCCTAGAACCTGCCCCTTTCTGTCTCTCCCCAAATGTGACATCTGTTCTGACTCCATGCCTGAGGCTGTTTCTGCCCTGCGGGATGTAAGTCAATTGGAATCTCGCAGTTCATTCATGCTCTTCCCGTCACTGGCACATACTATCCTGTCACTTGATCTCACCACGTGATCTTGCCATTCGGGACCACGCCTGTCTCAAATCCATCCTCCCTCCAGCGCTTTACCCCTTATGCTGATCACACCCAGAGCCACTCCCTTTGATAACATCCAAAGCAACAATAACAAAAGTAAGTAAGTACCAAAAGGTAGGAGAGTAGTTAGGAGGACTGGCAAGCTGGAAGCAGGGGTCCTTTTACCTTAACTGTGACATCAAACTGGATAACATGAGGCAAGTCCAAACCCCTGAGAACGCAGCTATCGTTCTGAGCGTCCTCTATCACTGCTTTTCCTTGGACATGTTCTGAGACAAGATGGCATCATGGCAGAGTACATGACTGGGACATGGGAAGTGTCATTATGCCTGCTATTCTTCCACTGTTTCTTTGTGGATACCTGCTAACAGCATGACAGAGAGTAAAGAATGTGTTAATTGCTTTTGTTAAAAGTTGGGGAAGAGCACACAGGCAGCATGGCAATAGCTATCGCCCCAATAATTTAATCAGAGTGCTTCTATTTCCTAAGTAACGTTTTAGCCAAGTGAAATAGCAGGTTGGTTTGATTGCCAAGATATTTTGTGCAAATTACTCAAACTAGGTCAGTACCGCAGAGAAGCAGGACAGCTGTTAAATAGGACAGCTGGGATCAAGTTCATCAGTGTGACATTTATGCTGCTCTCTGTCCAGGGCAGGGCAGAGTTACCAAATTCTCTGATGTGGGGGGAAGGGAGGTGTGGTGCAGGCAAGGCCAGAGCACTGCCTCTTACTCCAAGCCGGAGAGCCTCTCCAGCCTTGCTCATTCATGAGGTGAAGGCCTGCCTGTGCGCCCTCCCACACACTGCCAGAACATCCGCACAGGTTTCTGAGAAGTCCCCACTCCGAAGAACTGGGAAAGGCCCACAGCGAGCGAATTCCATGCAGAAACAGGGTGCTCGCCAACTATGGCTTAAAGCAAAACAACAATGCAGCCACTTTGCATGTCTTCCGAGCTCACGTGAACTCCACAGGCACGGCAGAGCAATGATGACTTTGTTTTGGCGCTGATGCAGGGCTGCCCTCACCATGGCTCTCTACTCACAGCCTCCCAGCATTGAAGAAGCGATAGAAGAACAAGAGGTTAACTCACACGAGTCAGACAGCCAGGACTTAGCCCGGCAGCCTGTAGCGGAGCCCCAATCTTACCTCAACATGAGGTGTGATGCCTGGGGCTCCTGGAGAACTGTCTGTCATCGTGGCTGTGTAGTTGTGCATTAGTGTATACCCTCACACTGTGGCTCCTCAACCTTGGCTGCCTGTGAGCTTTGGAAAGATCCACCTCATGGATAGATACACCCGAATCTTGGGGAGTGGCTCCCCAGCAGGGTGCTGGAGCCTGCTTATGCCAGCTCAAGAAAACACTGCTAATTTGTCTTTGTATACACTTGTGCATATATGTGCAGGCATGTGCTGTGTGTGTGTGTGTGTGTGTGTGTGTGTGTGTGTGTGTGTGCGCGCGCGCGCGCGCCTCATGTAGAGGCCAGAGGACAATCCCAGGTCTCATTATTCAGACGCTTTCCACCTCTTGTGAAGACAGAGTCCATCATTGGCCTGGAACTTGCCAAGTAAGCTAGGCAGGCTAACTATCAAGCCCTGAGAATGGATCTGTGACTTCCCTCCCACCAGAGCTGGGATCACAAACACACACCACTATGCCCAGTGTGTGTGTGTGCATGTGCGTGTGCATGTGTGTGTGTGTGTGTGTGTGTGTGTGTGTGTGTGTGTGTGTGTGAATTCTCAGGTCCTTGTGTTTGCATGGCAAGAACTTTACCAACTGTCTTAGCTGGGGTTTCTATTGCTGCGATGAAACATCATGACCAAAAAGCAAGTTAGGGAGAAAAGGGTTTATTTGGCTTATACTTCCACATCATTGTTCACCACTGAGGGAAGTCAGTGGAAGGAAATCATGAAGGGCAGGAACTCTAGAAGGGCAGGAACTCAAGAAGGGCAGGAACCCGGAGGCAGGAACTGATACAGAGGCCATGGAGGGGGCTGCTTACTGGCTTGCTCCTCATGGCTTGCTCAACCTGCTTTCTTATAGACCCCAGGACCACCAGCCCAGAGATGGCTCCACCCACAGTGGGCTGGGTCCTTCCTCATCAATCACTAGCAAAGAAAATGCCTTTCCAGCCTGTTATTAGCCAATCTTGTGGAGGTGTTTTCCTCATTGGCGTTGCTTCCTCTCAGGTGATTTTGTTTGTGTAACGTTAACATGAAACTACCCAGCACAGACTCTGATCTATCTCACCAGCCCCGAGATTGCTAACTTTTCAGGAAGTTTGTTTTGTTTTGAAGCAAACCAGTTGCCATCATGTTGGTAACTGGAAATCAACCACTATAAAATGAGTAGAACTCCAGCCTGGGGCCTTTTAATCTGGAGAGTGGGGAGCCTTTACCAGTAGACCACTAAGGCTGACATTAGGATTATTTTTTAATTGTTTATTTGTTTTATGTATAGATGCTTTGTCAGCATGTATGTCCATGTAACACATGCCTGCCTTGTGCCCTCAGAGGCTACAAGGGGAGATTCTGGGAATTGAACCTTAGGTCCTTTGGGCTATTAGATAGTACCATCTCTTTAGCACCGTGGCATCAGCAGCAACCATGTCATGCCAATGTGCAGTTTGGGCTATGAAACATGTTTTTGTAGGCATGTGTTGGCCCTGCAGGAAGAAGAACACAGATGATTCAAGATGATGAGCTCCAGGTTTTGGTTATAATTATTTAGCTTTTCTTCAGAAATTTTCCGAGAACCCCACTTGTTTAGCTTGGATATTATCGCAGCTCTTGTTTCTAGAGCGTCCAGGTATTCTCTCTACAGCAAGCCAAATCAGAATAAAAATATGGCCCCATCTTCTTGTAGCGAGCCTTTGTGTCGAAGGTGTCCCTGTGAGACATAAGCCCCGGCCTTCTGTAAGTGCCAAGGGGCATTCGATGCCCTTGAGCCCCCTATCCACAGCCCCGGCTAACCTGCACGTCCTCACCCACCCGCACGTCCTCACCCACCCACACTCGAGGCCAGTCGAGTGTACATTTGCCCTGACATCAAATCCCAAGCCTTACTCCTGCCTCTGTGGGTGAAGGTGGCAAAGGCTGTAAACACAGCTTGGAAGCCACTGTGGGGGCTGGAAAATATTATAATTAACAGTCAGTCCCCATCCCCTCTCCCCCGCCAATTCCGCTCAGCTGTAACTCACCATTGGAGAGTTCACCTCCCAGTTGCTGCTGGCATGCCTGAACAACATACAGTGTGCCTTGGGGCTGCATGGATTCCAAGATGCCTAGAAAGTATGTCAGGGACCCAACATCTAGAGTAGGTAACTATGACCCTGTCTAAGGGACAATTCTATCCACAGGGAGCACTTGGGCCTGTGTCTTTGCTAATCCTGCTACCTCCCTGTAACTTATGATATCTGTCACACCAAGTGCCACTGGAATGAGGACTTTATTTCCCTTCACAATTAACTTGAGTGGACCTCTTTGTAAATGAAAGATCCTCTTTGGACAAATGCTCATGCAGTCTGACCTTCCTGATCAGAAAAGTATGTGAACTGGGGAGAAAAGAGAAGGTTCAAAGGACCCTGGCCTCTCCTGAGGATTAAGGCTAGAGCCATGATTTGTGTCAAGAGCAGGAATTCCACCTTTATTCCCTTTCATCAACCCCCAAGATGAACTCTGGCCTAGTGTGTGTATAGCATCCTCTCTCTGCTTCCCAGAATGCATTTCACTATGTGTATCATGTGACCTAGTACTGTGAGGTAGCCCTTACCATGGATATAGATTGCCTCACAGCGGGCATGGTCTCCTCTAGATTAGTTCCTGTGCTCAGTTACCAAAATCTCTTTGAAGTTCTTCTGCCTTTAGAACTCCTGTGCTGGTTGGTTTCCATGTCAACTTGCACATGCCAGAATTATCTGAAAGGAGGGAGAGCCTCAATTGAGAAAATGTCTGCATAAGATCCAACTGCAGGAGATTTTCTTAATTAGTGATTGATGGGGGAGGGCCCAGCCCACAGTGGGTGGAGCCACCCCTGGGCTGGTGCTCCTGGGTTCTATAAGAGAGCAGGCTGAGCATTGGAAAGACTCTAACTAGCAGTGTTTTCAAAGCAAAGACTCATGACCAAACCTTTGGCAGAGTACAGGGAATCATAAGAAAGAAGGGGAGTTAGTCTGATGAGGAAAGGATAGGAGCCCCACAAGGACCAAAGATATCTGGGCACAAGGTCTTTTCTGAGACTGACATGCAACCAAGGACCATGTATGAATGTAACCTAGAACCTCTGCTCAGATGTAGCCTGTGGTAGCTCAGTAACCAATTGGTTTCCCATAGTGACGGGAACAAGGACTATTTCTAACAGGAACTCAATGACTGGCTCTTTGGCCTCCCCACTCCCCAAGGGAGGAGCAGTCCTGTTAGGCCACAGAGGAGAGCTATGCAGCCAGTCCTGAAGATACCTGATAAAACAGGATCAGATGAATGGGGAGGAGGTCCCCCCTATCAGTGGACTTGGCAAGGGGCACGGTGGAGATGAGGGAGGGAGGGAGGGACTGGGAGGGAATGAGGGATCGGGACACTGCTGGGATACAGAGTTAATAAAATGTAACTGATAAGAAAAAAATAAAATACAAAAAAATAAAAAATAAAAAAAAAAAAAGAGAGCAGGCTGAGCAAGCCATGGGAGCAAGCCATGGAGCAAGCCAGTAAGCAGCACCCTCCATGGCCTCTGCGTCAGCTCCTGCCTCCAGGTTCCTGCCCTGTTTGAGTTCCTGTCCTGACTTCCTTTGATGATGAACAGCAATGTAGAAGTGTGAGCTGAATAAACCCTTTCCTCCCCAACTTGCTTTTTGGTTATGGTGTACCATCGCAGCAATAGAAACCCTAAAACTAAGAAAACAATAAATGACAGTGCAGTTTTGTCTAGCAATAACAGCAATGTCTGAAGAGAGAAGACTTTCCAGTAGAGCTTGGTTTTCACAGAGACACGGGTGATGGAAGAAATGGCTCAAGGTCCTAGTCATGGCTTGGTGCTTTGCATCCTCTTTCTTCATGAGTAACTACTGGATCCATTCAGACTCATTCAAATAGAGAGGCCGCTGTCTCTCCACAGGAGAGAGACTGACAGACCACGGGTGCAGGCGTTGGGCTGTTGCTCGTTGGCAGTGTGCCCCCGCATGTGTGCGGTCCTAGGTTCAATGCTTAGCACTTAAAATAAAGGGTGCTCAGAAGAGAGCCCCGAAATCTCTTCCAAGTACAATGGGCAGGTTCTCTGCCTGAACAATCAGCTTTGCTCAGGTCGCTGTTCAACAGATTAATTTTATTCTCTGAGGTACAAATGGTATATTCTTAAATTTCTCTTAATGCAAGTGGGGGAAATGTTGGTTTAAGATAGAGGATAAATAAGGAAAAACAAAAAATATTCTATCCTGTTTATAGCGTCTGTGGTAATATTGAGGTAACTTAATAATAAAACAAAATTTCTAAGTGCAAAAAAGAGAATATTTAAAGAGGCCTATATAGACTAGTGATTGTTCGGTTGATAAGTGTGAAGGCTGTCTTCTGTTCACGATTGTGCCAGAGAACAGATAACAGCAATGACAACAGAAGGTTTTAAGAAACTTAAATTCAGACCTTGAAGTCACCTCAGAGGGCTGAGGCTGCCACAGCTCCTCCCTAGGGTGTGTGAGGCTGCACCACGCAGAAGCAGGACTGAGTGCTGCGTCTCTGGCCGCTGTGGCTCAGTCACAAAGGAGAGGGTGAGAGTGAGCTTGCTCCCGTGAACGCTCGGCCTATTTACTGCAAGCAGAAGGTGTTTGGGGATTCTTTTCACTTTGTTTGTTATTGATGTTGTTGTTTGGAAGTGTTGGGAATAAATCCCAGGTGACACACTTGGAAACACACACCCTACAGATGTGCACAGACTTTTGAGAATCCCAGATTTCTGGGGTGTTCTTACTTTACTCTGACTATGAACAAGCAACCTGAGAAGACACCACATCAGTCCCATCAGCCTTTGTCCCTTCCCTTGAGTGTGCCAGCTACCTGATTCCAGCTGCTCCAGCTTGGCCATAGAGTCAAGGTCCCGGTTAGTGGTTAGCAGCAGGTGCTCTGTCCTCTACCTGTGCTCACGACGGGATGCTCTCTCCTCCAGGGCCTCAGTAAAGGCTGTGACAGCATCAGCAGTGTCTGCAGCCCCCAGTCCTCAGAGTTTGGACACCAAGGGCCCATTACTTTCTTTAACCAAAGAGTTACACAAAATGAGAAAGAGGAAACGTGCGCCCATTCATCACTTCCATATCTGAGGTGCTTAGCTATGAATGCTCATATCTACTGTCATGTTTTTGTTTGTGTTCCCCCCCGCAGAAGTCTCGGCACAGACAGAAATCTGTGACATCCAGCAGGACTGGAAGCCCTCATTCCTCAGTAACGAAGAGTTCACCCAGCTGATGCTAGAGGTAACGCGCACTCTCATGTCAGCTCAGTGAGGCTGGGGGGCCTTGGTGGGCATGCACAGAGCCCTGGGTTCAGCTCGGCAGCACCACGTGAGGCCAGGTGTGGGGTGCTGGATCACACATGGCCGGCCCAAGCCTGTAATCCCAGGGCTGAGGATGAAAAACCTGAATTTCAAGGTCATGCTCTGTCAGGTGGTGAGTTTAAGCCTACGATGCCCACGGCCTCCTCTGAAACAGTAACACCCGCAGCAAAAGAAAAACCAAAACACCAGTGAGTGCTCAGTCAGCATAGCACTTGCCTCGTAGCTCCCCGGGATCCGCACTGTAAGAGTCCACGCAGGCGACACACATCGGTAGGTCCACCGACTGAGAGGGAGAGACAGGACCGCTGAAGTGACAGCCTGGCATGCCTGCTCTACTTGGTGACCTTCGGGAGAAAGGAGAGACCCTGTCTCCAACAAAGACGGCAGTGTGTGGCTCCTCAGAGGGGTGTCCAAGGCTGCTCCCTGGCCTGCACGTGCATTCACACATATGCACACACGCTTAACACACACGTGAGCACGTCCACTCAAGCACTTACACTCACACATACGTATTTGCACTCACACATACCTGCATGTCTAGTCACACATGTGACATCTGCGTATCTGCACATATTCTCACACACGCACATGCACGCACATGCACAGACACACATGCACAGACCCTCATGCATGTGCACTTGAACATCACAGACACAAGCACTCATGTATATTCACACACAAACATACAAGAGACAGCTTAGTGGGTTAGAAATGGAAATGAAACTGCCTGTTCCCGTTAGCTCTCCTGTCCAAAGCCAGCAGCTGTCAGTGGCCCCAGGAACGAGCGCTGGCACAGATGCTGGCCCATGGCTCGGTGGCTCTGCTGCCGTCCCTGTGCTTTGGCTACTGAGTAGGGCTACCTGAGAGTTCCCAAGCTGGACACGGTGGTATGCTATGTGTCACCTCGGCGACTGGACGCCAGGCCCCGTTTGGGGTCCCCAACAAAGGGCACAGAACGTGAGCCAGGCGTGAGTGAGTGGAGGTCGAAAGCAGAGGGGAGAAAGGGAGGTCATGACACACGTTTGCTAGCGGGCATTTTGAGGCTTTCTTTAGCCTGTGCTCGTTGTATGTTAGCGCCGAGTGTGTGTCCGCCACGGTGACCTCCACCCCCTTCCCCAGCCGGGCCCTGTGCTGTAGACAGCCACCCTCCTTCCCTGTGGACTGAGTTGGGGTGGGAGAGCTGCTGCCGCTGAGCTAACAACTTCCATCAGGGCCCTTGGAAGTTTGGGTGAAAGTCCTCATGACAGACAGGTCTCTGCAAAGCTTGGCAGGCACTCTGGGTCCCGGCTCGGGGAGTTTACCGCAGGGCCGTGAGGACCAACAGGCTTGGTGCAGCATGAGGGCAGAGGACCCTGGGACAGAAAAGCCCAGCACAGAGAAGGATGTCAGGCCAAGGCTTCTCAGGATAAGCCTTTCTATAGCTCATCTGTGTGCCTCTACACGACTGATGTAAACTTCAATTTCCATAGATTAGCTATGCAGAAAACAGAAAGTACCGGAATAAGAAAATGCCAGAATAAAGACATCTAAATATTATGAAACATAAATGCATTAATGAACATTTGCAGCAAATGAAAGCTACTTAACTCTACACGGGAACTATATTTAAAGAAAATACAGAACTTTCTGCAGAAGAAATGTATTTTAAGTCTGTTAAATTTAAAGCAGCTTGTGGAATATAATGTTAATTTGATGCATCATTATGCTGCTTCACAGGCATTGATTTATCTTTTAATTCCTTCGGGAAAGGAGTTAAAAACATATAACCCTCTGGAAGCAGCCACTTTTTAAGAACTTGTTAACGCAACCTTTTTGTTTCATCCAGTGAGTTTCAAAGCATCCAAAGAATTTCACCGAACACAGCTTCTATGGAGTTTTAAATTTTTTGACAAGTGTGTCTGGAAGAAAGGATTAGCAGTCATGACTGGCATTTCTAGAAAACGGTATTGGATGAACGTGGATAATCTTAATTAACACCCCTATGCAGCTTTCTCCAGGGTAGAGTCCCTGAGGCAGATAGAGAGGAAAACTAAACACATGGCTTGGCTTTGGAGTCATGTCTGTCCAGCCCTGGTCCATGGGAGGCAGCTGGAAGCATTCTGGCTGTGTTGAGCTTGTCTTTTGGGGCAGAGTCAGCATCAGCTTCTGAACGCTCCCGCCCCCCCGGTGGTCCACGCCTTCCAGTGTGCCCCCTTAGATGAGGCAGGAGTCCCCACAGTACAACAGCTGGCTAGTGTTTGTCCTGCTGCTCAGCCTCCTCTTTCAGAGCCCTTTCAAGCTGCATGTCTCTGTGGCCAAGAGCACCCTAATTCACGGGGAAGCAGCCCGGCTGTGAACACCTGTGCCTCGGGGATCTCTAGGGATTCCGGGCATGACTCCTTCTTTCTTCCCACTATCTGTCAAAGGGGCACAAAACCAGACTTCAGGACGCATACCATGGTGAAGTACAGAGGAAGAAAAATGGCCTACTTTCAGACCAGCATCTCGGGTAGAGTGTAAGCTGAGAACGATTGTGGTCAGAGCACTTGGAAAAATGACTCCGAAAGAGTCGTTTCTTTCTTTCTTTCTTTTTTAAAAAATACACCTCTTATTTTTGTGTGTATAAGTGTTTTGCCTGCATGTATGTTTAGGCATCACCTGGATGACTGGTGCCCATGCAGGTCAGAAAAAGACACTGGCTGCTTAGGACAGAGTTAGACAGCTGTAAGCCACCGCTGGAGTGCTGGGAACCACGCCCATGTCCTCTGCAAGAGCAAGCATTTTGACCTGCCCATCCATCTCCCCAGCCCCTGAAGGAGAAAAGGCTCTTGCTGGCCGGGATCTGGGAAATTCAAGATCTCCCCGCATGTTTTTCAGGAAGCTTCAGCAATCTTTTCTCTTAACCCAGAGAATGCTGAGACTGTTTCACGAGTCTGTAGGTGAGGGAGGCTGTGAGGTCAGGGTTAGCCTGACCTCAGAAACCCCCTTCCATGGATAGGGGCACCTTGTGGTTCTGTTACATCACTCGGTGTTGTCGTGGGATTTCCAGAGCCACAGCAAGGGGCAAGGGCCCATTGTTGACACAGAGACTCACTGTGGGTGAGCTAGCAAAGGTCATCTCACATCTACGAGTATCTTCAGATTCATGACGTCCCCGCGCTTACAGGTTCAAGAAGAATGTGGGCTCACTGTACAAAAGCAAATAAATAACTGGAAAGAAAGAAAAGCAGCCTGTTCAACTCCTGCTGTCCCCAGCCTTCCCATCTGTCGAGAGAAAGGCCCGGCTGACATCATCAGGAGTGTCTCCGAGCCTTAGAAGCCTTCACCGACAGGAGGGCAGCAAGGAGCCTGGAGGAGAATGGGGGTTACCGCAGGCTGAGAAAGGAGGGATTGGCATGATGCCAAGACTGAAGGATAGGTTCTAATTTACACTCAGCTAGAGGCAAGAAGTTTTGGGGTGCTACCAACTGTAGCGTGACTCTAAGAACAACAATGTGTTGTGGGGTTACAAAAGGTAGATGGAAGGATCCTAAATGTCTTCACCACAAAGAGATCGTAAAGGTTTTAGAGGCTGATAGCCCTAACCTGACTTAAACATCACACTATCTACACACACATCAACTATCCCATGGTGCCCATGGAAAGGTGCAATTAGTGTCTTTAGGTATCAGTTGCAATAACTCTCACTGAGGGCCGGGGCTGTAGCTCAGTGCTGGAGCACGTTCCTCACACATGTCAGGGTAGGCCCACCCCAGGAGAAGGCACTGAGCTGAGGATGCCTTGACCAAAATAAATTCAAATTTATATATTAAAAAAAAAACCTTACGGGAATAATTGAGGAGGCAGTTTTAGAGTTAGTAGGCTTTGCTCTTACACCACAGCCACAACTTTAACCAAGCGTATCAGCCTCACTGGTGATGTGCACCTGGTCTTTCCTTCACGTCCGTGTGCTGTGGGATACTCTGCAGCATCCTCTGCCTCTGCACCCTGGATACTGCCATCAAACTCCAAACCCTCTAATGTAACCCAAAAGGATGGGATTCCTTTAAGGGATGTGCTCTACCAAGATCAGCTCAAAGCGAATCAAAGACCTGCTTGTAAGGCCTGAAATGTTGAAACCACTGGAGGAAAAGTTTCATGATGGAGGCAGAGGCAGGAACCCCTGAAAACACCCACCAGCATGGAAAACAACCTCAAGAATTGGTAAATGAAATGGCGTGAAACTTACAAACCTCTGCACAAGTAAAACTGTCAGCAAAGCAAACAAACAGCCTATGGGATGGGGGAAGTCTTGGACCAGCTATCCCTCAGGATGGGGAAAGTCATCTTGGACCAGCTATCCATCCCTCAGGCAGGACATTAATGTCTAGAATATAGATAGAACTACATAAATCAGACACACACACACACACACAAAAAAAAAAAAATGGGCCAAATTTTCAAAAGAAGAAACATAACTGACCAATAAATATTTGGTAAGCTCTTCCACAGCCTTAGCCCTCGGAGAAGGGCAAATTAGAACTTCTCTAAGATTCTCTCTTGCCCTGCTCGGAATGGCTAACATCAAGAAACAAATGAGGGCTGAAGAGCTGGTCGCATGACTTGCACCCTGCATACTAGCCCCTACCTTCATCCCACCGGCACCATATCCAGCCCCCAGGCCCGTCAGAGCCTGCTATGTCCATATCAGATGCACAGCCGACGAGAAATCAGCACGCCCAGGCCTCATTCCAAAAATGCCAACAGCATGAAGGGTCAGGACAGTATGCATCATCCTTGAATCCACCAGTCCTAGAGAATGGCCTCCGATGAGAGTTACCTGGATGAGCCCGCAGTACAGAGGACAGAAAAAGAACCATCTAACACGTCATCAGAGAATTCAAGCAGGTTAAAGACACAAAGAAACAGATCAGTAAACTTAAGAGTTTTCTAACCTGAAATGGTGCCCTGAACAATCACAAACACAAGGTGAATGGAATAAAGACGATCCAGGGTTTGAAAACTGAATTCAGTAAAGAGAAACACTGAAGAGAGCTAACCCTGAAACGAAGATAGACTTGAAAACCTCAGCAATCCAATAAGAAACTCATGGGAAAGCCTTACAAGGAGATGGACCAAAGAGAAGATGGGCTATCAGAACTTGAAGATGGAGAAGTCAGGGCACATAAGCAAAGAACGTCTAAAAAAAAAAAAGGAAGGAAGGAAGGAGAAAGAAAGAAAGAAAGAAAGAAAGAAAGAAAGAGAAAGAGAGAGAGAAAAAGAAAGAAAGAAAGAGAGAGAGAGAGAAAGAAAGAAAGAAAGAAAGAAAGAAAGAAAGAAAGAAAGAAAGAAAGAAAGAAAGAAAGAAAGAAAAAGAAAAGAAAGAAAACACAGGAAAGGTACCCATGGGAAATGTGGGCATAGATAAGGGAGAAGTCAGACAGACCAAACCTTTGACAAAATCATAGAAGAAAATGTTCCAAAAGTAAGAAAAGAAATACCCATGCAGACACAAGAAACACACAGAGCACAAATCAAAAAGACGGGAAAAGACAATCGCCATGGCATCGCATACTAAAACACAGAGTACAGAATGAAGAAAACACAGAGAGCGCTGCCAGGGAGAAGCATGAGCCACATACATAGCGTGCCCGCTCCTGTCCCTTGCCGTCCCGCACTGAGGCACGCCCTCCTGACCTCACAGAACAAATGCCCTTTTATGGGACTAGACTCTCAGCAGCGCCCTGGGAGGATCAAGGTGAAGGCATGTGGAATACTTCCAACCCCTTCTAAGCTCTCCCTTCACCAACACCTCCCTCCACCCGCCAAGAGCAGAAAGTTCCCAGCTTTGGAAAAGACAGTTCAAAGACATGGGTCGGTGTAGCAACAGCGGTGAGTCCCCGGGCATGTCCACCGGAGTCTGGGTCTCATTCCCTCAAAGATTAATTTTCTGTCTCTCTGGGTTGCCCAGGTAGCCAGTTGCCAGTGTGACACCATATTTGCTGAATTACGTACGTGGACTGAGTTTTCGGAATCAGCTTTGACTTAGGTCTTATGGCAGCATTATAAATGTCCACAGTCAAATCTCAATATGTCTAAAATCTGAGCCTCAAGAGGCTGGACCCTGTGAAAGAGCCTTGTCTGCATTTAGCCACTCACAGCCAAAGCAGGGTGCCTGGCAGACAGTATAGATGTTTTTGCACGTGTGCAATTTTTAGACAGTTGGAAACCCTTGGGCCTGGATGAGTTGGTTACAAAGCCTCCACCCCCTCCCAGCCTGGCGGAATATGGTGAATGTCCCCTTTGGAGCAGGCAGGGACTGGAAACAAGCTTCACCATCCTCCTGCCTCAGCCTCCCAAGTGCCAGGATGATAGCCTAATGCTACCACAGATGGCATGAATACAGCGCCCCAGTACAGATGGTTCCTTCGTTAGCCACCTCTATGGCAATGGAAGGGAAGACTTTGCCCTTTATTTTCTCATAGGCCTAAGGCACTAGGGGCCTTAACGTGGTGGGCTCATGTCAACAGCACATTCACTCAGGCCTTCACACATTCAGGGATTCCTCTGCCTCCCGCAGAGGTCTGCTTTGGCCTGCAGGCACACTGGCTGTGAGACATCTCTTTCTCTATACCTCAGAGTAAATTCTCACTGCTGGCCTCACAGTGGTCTTGGGGGCAGGGACTGGGGCCTATAGCATGCCACTGATGCCTCTGAGTGCTGATGGTGGTATTTCTGACTCATCTCAGTAGCGTGCCTGCCGTTAAATCTGCTTAAGCAATTTCCACGGCCGCACTCTGCTTCACGATACCAATAGGTCAACTTTTCCATGAGCCCGCAAAGCTTCTGCAAGCTCTTTGCCTGGGCCGAACGAATTGTGTGTGAAACCATCCTGTGTGTAAGGCAGGAAAGCGCTGGGAGGTTGTTCATGGAAAGGGTCTGAGAATTACCAAACAAAGCCACTGTCTTTTGCTTTAGTGCCATGCTCTTCCACAGAAGCCTCTCTAAGACGCTTTCAAACGCTGCCTTTTCTCCAGGCGTTGGACGGCTTCATTATCGCAGTGACGACCGACGGCAGCATCATCTATGTTTCTGACAGTATCACGCCTCTGCTTGGGCATTTACCGGTGAGTTTCTGCTCCATCGGCCTTGGCCTGTGCATGGCTCAGAAGAGGTGCAGGTATGGGGAAGCTATGCGAGAGAGGGAGGGGCATGGAGAGTTAAAGAGTGTCCAAGTTCAGCAGAACCAAACCAGGCCAAGCTTAAGGTCCTGGGACAGATGAAGTACAGAGAAGCCACGCGTCACCCTGAAACAGGCACGAGGCCGCCAGCTCACCAGGGCCAGGGCAGAAGCCGGGATAGGATTGACACAAGGGCGTCTCAGCGCTGTCAGCAGAGCTCAGAGAGCAGCAGATGTCCCTGGTCAACTGAGAGCTGATTAAGGAATTGGGGAAACAGATGGCTCGTGCAGGATGTGGCTCAGAGCTCACCGGAGACATGTATGGGATTGCAAGTAGGTTGTAGCATTAATCACACTGAGCGCTTCGCAGCCATGATGCTTCTTGGGTACTGAAATACGAGATATGCTTGGACCAGTGTTCTAAGGGCTGTGGGAAAAGAGAAGAGACTGCCCAGGTAGGGAGGGAAGCCAGCTCTGCAGCCGTGGGCAGATTATAGAGGTTTGGATTTGGGGTGGCTGCAGGTTCCTCTCTTCCTTCTCTCTCCCTTCATCAGTCTTTGCTCTCCTGCCTTCTTCCTCTCCACAAGCCTTGATGGCTCCCTGACGACAATAGCTCAGCCTGAAGTCACTTGCGAATCTATGTCAGGCTAGAAGAGGGCCCACTCTTGAGGACAGCTCCAGCCTTTGCCTAGCGTCTCCCTTCTTGCCTTACCGTTATTGATTCCCACAGAACTTGGCCTAAAACATCAGCTCCCCTAGGAGCATGCAACTGACCAGTCTGGCAAAAGCAACCACCGCACTACTAACCCTTTGCGTGCAGAAGGCTGGGCCTCCAGCCTAATGTGACAAGGTGGGTAGAGCTTTCCCTGGGCCAGCTGATGCTAGGAAACGATGGTCCCCTCTCCATGGCTATCCCAGGCAGGGAGGCAGCACGCTCTTGCTCTGTGAGCAGCTCTGTCTGTTTTCTGATTAGAAGCCTTGCTCTGTTGGGGGCTCAGGGTTTCTCCTACATCACCCTAGCCTATCAGCTCCTCGGAAGTCAATGTCCCAGCCCGCCATTTTGCTCAAGGTTCTGCATGCCTGCAGAACTATCACTTGGGTTCTTCTGCTGCCCCGGTACCTTAGGTATAAAAGGCAACTGTTGACCTTTCTGGGTAGGTAGACTCCTATGGCATCATGGGTATAACTGTTTCCTGATGCGGGAGCGGGTTGGACAGGTGTGGTGTCTCTTCCTGGGACGCTGTTGGAGGAGGTTCCTTCTGTCTTGAAGGGTGTTGGAGTGCATCCACGCCTTGATCCTTGTCTCAGGCGGGAGCTCGGTGATGGATGCAGACGTGGCCTCTGCTTTCCGAGTCACGCACTATTGGGGATCATCTGAGGGTAGCTGAGGAGAAAGAGGAGACGAGGTGCCTCTTGGGGTGAGCTGCTGCTTTGTTCTGAGGGGAAAGGACTGCAGTGATAGGTCCAGACCAAGAACAACCAAGTGTGGCCTGCTTTCTGGCTGGCAGGGAGGGTCAGGGCCCAAAGCTGTTTGGGTAAACAGGGTTACTCTCTTCTGCTTTACGCTCTCAGGATTATCTGATGACCCAGTTGCTATTTGTGGCAGAGGGAACTTAGTGATTTTTCTGACTTGAAGTTTTGGAGCCATTCAGAACTGCCTGGAGAAATCGGGTCCCAACTGGAAGGACAAGGAATGACTTCAGCTCTTAACTTGTCCTGCCAGACCCACATGTGTGCTTGCTAAACATCCATCTGTAGAGTTTCACACCCTGACACACACAGCAAGGCCCCAGTAGGGCTGAGCCCTGGATGGAATTCTAGCTTCCATTGTCTGGCCTTCCTGGGGTCTTCCTTTCCAAGTGGGGTGGACAAGGGTTTTTGAAAGCAGAAAATTTCCTAGTTCCATCAGCACGTTGCTTCTAGAAACCATTCCTCTATTGCTTCCAACTTAGAGGCAAGGCAATCCCAGGGGCTGAGCAGGTGCCACTATGTTGAGCCCAAGCTGGTCACCACTTCACTCTAGTGTGTTCCTGGTGCCAAGGATTTGGGCTGCAGCTTGAGAATTCTTCTGGTTAGTTTTTCTTTAATTTGCACCTTCCTGCGTTATGGCGTGAGAGCAGGCCATGTCTTTAGGGTGGTTAGTGAATGCAGAAGGTGAGGGTGGCTTCTTCCTTCCCGGTTTCAGTCTGAGAACTTCCACGTGGTCAACTGTTCAGAGCAAGCGTGTCCCGAGCACGCGCTTGCTGTATACCAAGTTCCCGAGTATTGATGCCTGGGGAACATTTGGACAGTCCCTTGCTGTCCCTACTACTCCTTGCAGTGAGGTCATGACCTCTGTGCACAGATGAGAAAATTCAGCAGGACAGTGAGATCAAGTATTGACACACAGTGCTGCAGACAGACAGGGGTATGAACTGGGGCGATGGCTCCAGAGCCAGGGGTGTGACTGTGGTGTGGTCTAGGAGGATGGCCCAGAGCCAGAGTTTAACCACTACTCAGAACTCTCTCAAGTACAGGAAAAAAGTGCCAATCCCCCGGGTTGTGGTGAGTGGTACGGAACTGAAAAGCAGACATTGTGCAGGGGAGGAGGCCACTGAGGAGAGGCATGGCTGGCTAAGAACAATTGAGGGAAGGGGCAGGAGACCATGGCTCCCGAATGCAGAGCCCTGCCATGTCACTCAGCACAGGCTGGCCTTCCAACATCCCATCCCACAGCCCGCCAATGACTGGGAGGGAGAAAAATCAACCAGAATTCTTCCCACAAGTAAGCGAGCTTCAAAGCTCTATTTCCTTCATCTTCATGAGAGAAAGTCCCTGATAGATTCTCATAGGGCAATTTCCTGATGAAGCATTGTGGCACTTGTTGTTCTCAGAATGGCAGAGGGGAAAAAAGAATGAAACAGAGCAAAAACACTCACAGTAGAAAGAGACTTTAAGATAAAAGCAATTTTTTTAGTGGTGTTGACATCAACATATTTGGCCTTCCTTGGTGTTTAGAATGAACTCAGACAATCACAGCAGAAATAGAGTGTGTGTGTGTGTGTGTGTGTGTGTGTGTGTGTGTGTGTGTGTGTG